ATGGAATAATGGCGTTTAATGGTGTATACCAGCCACCCCCCAACTTGGTGATTTCATAATCCTGTAACAGTGGGGTGTTCCGGATCCCATTGCAACCAGTACGCTGCAACGGGGCCCGGCATTGACCATCTGAATGTGCGCAGCATGTGCACAGCGCACGCATGTATACTTACCACCCGTGATGCTCCAACTGCCCCGTTTGGCTCAAATAGCAGTAAGGAAAGCGGGCAGGTGGGTGGGCCCTGTGGAGCACCTGTACCAGAACAGTACCTGGTACTTCCAGCAGGCACCTATATGCCCATACCGGGGCATACCAATTGTATCCCACCACTGTCCTGTAATTACTATTACAGTAGTGAAGACTCAGAGACCCCCGGAGCTCTGGTTATATGTCTTGTAGTTCAAGAAACAAGTACAGCAGTCTGTTCTATACCCCTAAGCATTAAATGAAAAATGGAGAAGAAATGCACACTAGTGTAGAACTTGTAGCCCCTTCAGAAGAAATACTAACAATTCCAATATAAATTCTGGTTAGGAGCCGACCTTCATTTTCCACTTTGCATCTTCCCGCACCCAATGGTAGGTCTTGTACTTGCTATGATTTTTCAGAACAGAGCTCCTCACCAATCCTTGCAGGTGTGAGCAGGCAGGGATGCTGATTCAGCACACCTGGTTACTACAGGATACAATAACAAAGCCCCTCTGTCTGGAGACACCCTGAGTCAGAGTTTGCTGAATTAGTTGTCTGCTCCTTTGAGGTGCTGCCTTTTGTGCTAGACCAAAAGAAGAAAGGTGGGGATGGTTGTTTCTCACTCCTATCCCTGTATCTTAGATTACATAGCAATACATAACAATAATTCCTTAGGAGCATTTCCATATTGCTGATTGTTGGGAACATTAACAAAGATACTCTCTGAATTGCTTTCCATAGTTTGGTCATTGGATCTTGAATGCATGATAAAGCAAGTCTTCCCAGTCACTAAAGCTGAAACATGCAGTGCCTCCTTGTTGAGAACTGCATCACTGATTTGTCTCTTCATTATACAAAAATATGTACCTACAAAGCCGCCTCAGCTTTAACCTAGATTTGCATTTGTATAATATTCCTTGAGGTTTTTCATCATCTGATAGTTCCACTGCTTTAAAAAGCAGAGATTTAAAACCCGATAGTTTATCTCATTTTTAGTGATGCAGAAAATCAGTAATAAAGTATATAAGGTATCTGTTCCATAAGTGCTTTTACATACTTCCAAGTTAATTTCTTTGTAGAACTAATTTGCTGTGTCACTACTATTTATAGACTCATCTCTTCTATTTACCATAAACAATGGGCTACAGAAGGACCCGAAACAACCTTTACATATCTGGGAACTATAGCAATGCAACATCTGCAAGACACTATTATACTATGGAGTAGGACACTTGTAGACATCCCTGATTTCCACCACCACCCTCCCGGGATGACTCCTGCAAAGTGTAAATCAATATATACGAGAGGGTGGACAAATTGGAAAGGAAAAGAATGCTTTGTCTTGGGAAAGGTATTAGGACTTGAACTGGGAGATCCAGATAGGAATCCCATCATCCCCAATTCATCACTGATACAGAGCAAACTGACTTTCTGAGAGAAAACAGAAGTGCCTCAAAAGCTCACCTGCTTGGGGGTTCTCTAAAGCAGGGATCTCCAACCTTGGCATCTTTAAGTCTGGTGGACTTCAACTCCCAGAATTCTGGGAGTTGAAGTCCTCCAGGTTTAAAGTTGCCAAGGTTGGAGACCCTGGCTCTAAAGATTTATGAATTAACCACAAGCTTAAGCCTTAAACAAGAATCTCATCCTTTGCCTCCTCTTCTTCAGACTCTTCTCTGTTACACGGTGTAAAGAGCTCCATGCCTGACTCTAAAGGCTCAGACTGATCTTTAAGGCTTGGCTTAACTCAGATGAATTATGTGTTTTGTCCAAGAGTTATGGGAAGAAAGTTTTTAAAAAGTGGAGGAGTACAGAAGGAAACAAAATATGACATCTTAACCCCCTAATGCCATTCATGTTCTTGAGAACATTTTTTTCCTGAAAGGGCATGACGCATATTCTACAGTCAAATGAATTGTTAAGTTAAAGATTTACACGTAAAAATAATTTTCAAGTATTTTGCAAGTACCTTTTACTTGGCAGGGACCATTATGTAAAATTAAGTTGCTCAATCCCATTTAAGGACAAGAAATAATTTGGGACTGGAATGTTAACAACACATCCTGTAAACTCTATCCTTCAGAACAAGATGGATGTTTGTTAGTAAGAGACCCTGGCTTCCTGTTTCATAAAACATATGTTTGGGTTAGCATACCCAACATGGCAATTGGGAAGCCCTCCTCCAATTCTGCTGCCTGGAGAATTTAAGGGATTGCAGTCCAAGCAGATCTAAACAATGACAGGTTAGAAAAAAATGCTACAGGGTGGTCTGTAATCTGTAGCTAGGATAGAGAACATTTTTGCTAACTTGGCAGGCATAAGGAAATGCCTTCTTATGTCTAAGCCAGTATAAGTCTCGCCTCTTTATACATCTGAGACACAGAGAAATGAGCAAAATAATCACTTTGGATGGGAAATTTTAGGCAACTGAAAAGAATGATGAGTAACAGATAGATGAAAGGTGGTGCTGAGATGATTCTGATATGAATCCAATAAGCATCTTTTCCAAGAAGCCCATTGAATTCAAGCTGCAGTGGAGTTGGAATGAGACACAGAACTTGAAAATTATTTTTAAGAAAAGAAGTTATTGCATTATTGGTGGAACAATTGCAGTATAAGTAAGTATGTGCGGACACAAATATATATATATTTTACAGATGAAAAGCTACAGGTTAGGGAAAGTGACACTGGAGGAATTGCCCATTTATGTCACTTTATATCTGAGATTTCAAACAATGAAACTTTGTGTTTGTTTATAATATGAAGGGACAAATTGCTCTAAATTTGCATTCTTCTTCTTGGTGCCCCCCTCTCAATTCCAGCCTTCCAAGGTGGTAGTAATAGCCCCAAATAGCCTCCAAAATATGACATATTTTTCTGTGTAGAAGAACAATGCTGATCTTACCACTGTTTTGCCATACTGTCAAAATGTTTTTTCTAGATATATTGTTAGCCTTCCCTATTTGAACCACTGAGAATGCTGTTTCATGGTTTTGTTTTGTTTTAGATTGTATTTTGTAGCTCATCTTCTTGACAATTTTTTTGATGAAGGACCCCCGATGAACAATAAATCAAACTCACATGCAATGTTTTTATTTAGCATATGCTTATATTTAAATATAGCACTGAACCTATTTATTGCCATAATAACCACCCTATAAGGTTGAGTGGGCTGAGTGAAAAGAACAGAACCAAAGTCACCTATAGAGCTTCCATAGCTGAGGATGGATTCCAATTATCATAGTTGAGGGTGGACAACTTATACCACATTGGCTGTCCATGCAAATGTAAATAAGAGCTGATAGTTTTGCTTTGGTTTATCTAGGAAAGGTGCAGGCGCAGGGATTACTAATGGGAGAACTGCTGGGTATTCAGTACAATAATTGCCTTCATTAGTAAGTGATTATTCTTACTGTGAATGCTTTCTGTGGATTGACCATATGATAATATCACAGATAAGGGCAGTGTCCACAAGGTCATTTACAGAAAAATTCATCTTTTAAATCCTTTTGGAATCCTTTGTGATCCTTCCTATTTCTCATTTATGAGTGGCTTACTCACCGTGTTCAGCCATAAACATCATATAATGTGTATGAGAGAGAGGGAAAAGGCTGGCCCATAGTAGAAAAGGAGCCATCCAGTGGTTTCATTTCCATCCAGCTGTTGCTTCAAAAGTCCACAAAGCAAATAATCCTAACAGTGAATGTTCAAAACGCTGAAATGTATTAAACTAACCTCAATCTGGACAAGTATCACTCCTTTTTAATTTTTGGTTTAAATATATATATATACAAAGGGGATATCCATGTAACTTGAAATCATGTTTTTTTAATACTTGGCTAGCAACAATCCTCTCTTTTTCTGTGTATTTTCTCCCTTCCAGAAGAGTTTAAGCATGTTTAGTTTAGATAAATCTGGATCAAAGCCAGTTGTTTTTTTTAAAGCACAACTGTTTGCTGTGAATTGTTGAGACAAAAGTTAATCAAAATCAAATAAAGTTTTATGTCTTTTCTTACTGTTATTTAACTAATTTATATGCCAGTACTGACACAATTTCAGCTCAGTTCTAAAAAAAAATAATTTCAGTATGCTGCAAATCTCAGGACATCCACTGCCAGATTTCAGATTTTACAGTATAATCACTTAAGCACCATGCTACAAAGGTATGCAGTTGTATGATTCACACAATATTAAAAAATATGGAGCAGCTTTTGGGAAGGGCTTTTTTTTTAACAACAGGCAGATGAAACAAATTATCCTTTGTGTTGACAAGATGATTATCTTTCTTTCATATTTGTGGTTGCAAAGACATTGGCTTGACAAGCAGAGGTATTTTAATGTACGATAAATCACGTTATTTTATATGCCTTTTTAAAGCATGAAACAATTGTCTTCCAGTTAGCTACCATTTTCAGATGCCAACCAATCTCAATTTAATCAGACAGCCTTTCTTTCAAGAAATTTCCAGGAAATAAGAGTTCTCTTCCACATGTTTTATTCCATGTAACTAAAACAAATGCTTTGGGAAGTTCCTACTAATTCACTGAAACGGTGACCTTGGCAACAGAGAAATGGAAATTTAAGTCAAAGATATTGTATTTCTTCTTAACCGTATAGACAAGCAAAGGCTTAAAAACAACCGCTCAGGAAGAGAGTAACTCATGTTACGCATAAAGGACTTGGCAGGCCTGAACACCGAAATTTCCAGAAGTGTTTGCGTGGCAAGAACTCAGTGCCAATCCACATATTTTAGCTACATTGGCCGGGTGCCCAGAGTACAAAAAAGCTGTGGAGCTGTGCAGTTCACTGGCTTCCCTGATGAGTTTCCATCCTGCAAGGCAACACTGGCTATGTCTCCTGCTACTTAAATTGTTACAAAATACCAGATGTGCTTAAGAAAGAGTAAGTGAATCCAAACCTTGGGTAGTCAGATAACCTATCATTAAAGTTTTGTGTTTTTTTTTAAATGCTGTCAGAACTCCAGATTACTGTTTTGTTCTGTTTGCTTACGCCCTCTTGCTGGAAAGCCACCCCCCCCTCTCCCGGATGATGGGAACAAGACACAGGAGGAGTAGACAGTTCTGGAGCATTTGACAACTTTGTTTACAATCACACCCCTGCGCATCTGAACCATGTGAGAAAGTAAAGGCTAAGCAGATTCCCTCTGCCCTCGGCAAAGAGTCTGGAAGGCAGTGGAAAAGCCGCAGGAAGGAGTACAACAAAGCAAAAAGAATCGGGATCGTGTTTCTCTATCCCCATGGAGGGCAGCGGAAGAAAACAACAGAGCTGTTCTGATTCTCTCCCCCTTGGACAGCCAGTGATCCCTTATGTGAAAAGATTGCACAAACAGACCTCGTCTAATGGCAATCAAATCCCCACAGCTTGCTAAAAGGCTGGGTGTGACATTGGTGGTGCATACTTCCATGGATTTTATGCACCGGGTGGCACACGTACCCCTTTTCCAGCTGATCTCAGTTTTAGAAATCTTTTTACAGTGACTATCTGTACAAGGTGACTTATGCCCAGTCCTCCGACTTGCAGCCATTGCAGTGTCCCTATAGTCCTGTGAATAAAATTTGGACCCTTGGCAACTGGCATGTATTTACAGTGGTTGTAAAATCCTGGGCAGTGGCGAAATTCATAAAAAATTAGTACCAGTTCTATGGGTGTGGCTTGGTGGGCATTGCAGGAGAAGGATACTGCAAAATCTCCATTCCCTCCCCACTCCAGGAGAAGGATACTGCAAAATCTCCATTCCCACTCCACTCCAGGGGAAGGATACTGCAAAATCTCCATTCCCACNCCACTCCAGGGGAAGGATACTGCAAAATCTCCATTCCCACTCCACTCCAGGGGAAGGATACTGCAAAATCTCCATTCCCACTCCACTCCAGGGGAAGGATACTGCAAAATCTCCATTCCCACCCACTCCAGGGGAAGGATACTGCAAAATCTCCATTCCCACCCACTCCAGGGGAAGGATACTGCAAAATCTCCATTCCCACCCCACTCTGGGGCCAGGGAGAGGTGGTATTTGCGGGTTCTCTGAACTATTAAAAATTTCCACTACCAGTTCTTCAGAACCTGCTGAATTTCACCTCTGATCCAGGGGTCATGTAATCACTATTTGTGACCTTCCAAACAGTTTCCAAAAAGCAAAGATAATGTGGAAGCCAGATTCACTTAATGACCACATGATTCACTGAACGACTATGACTTTAAAAAGTTGTGAAATCGGACTAAGTGATTCCATCATTTAGAGATGGAAATTTTGGCTCCAATTCACATCATCGATGCTGTAGAATTCTGCAGTAGCCAGTTAGATTTTAGCACCACCAAACTAGGTTTCCTGCCTAAGCAGGGGTTGGACTAGAAGACCTCCAAGGTTCCTTCCAACTCTCTTATTCTATTCTATTCTATTCTATTCTATTCTATTCTATTCTAGAATTGTGAACATGTTTTCCCCTAGGAGTACATGAAACAATTCCAATAACAGCATATGTGCATTTGTATATCTTCATGTTTCCTCATTCCTCTTTTCAACTAATAATAAGAAATAGGCAAAAACCCACTGGAGGTCAGTTTGAACCATGAGCTCCAAGGACATTTGCTTCTGCATTGAAACTGCCCTCTTGCTTGTAGATACTATCTGACCCAATGTTTCTTTTAGGTGGTGGCCGGAGGCAAATGGAAATGCTTTGCTAAAGATGAAACTACTTTGAAACAGTTCTGTCCTTAGTAACTTATTCTGAATAATGTTTAATATTAATTTATTTGGAGATTTCTATTCCCTGCCTATTTCTGCATTCTTTACGTGATTGAGCTATAGCAGGGGCTGGCAACCTTAAACACCCAAAGAGCCATTTGGACCCGTTTCCCACAGAAAAGAAAACACCAGGAACCACAAAGGTCCTAACCTGAAGCCCCTCATTCAATTCTGGAGGCAACTGGAAAGCCAGTTCACCCACCCCCCCAAGAGTCTCTTCCTAGAGCAGCATCCTTTTTCCTCTACTTGTCCTAACTGAAAGCCCTATCAATTGTGGAGTCGACTGGCAAACCCACCACCTGCTATAGAGTCTCCTCCTGGTGCACTGTGCTTCCCCCCCCCCCCCCGTAACTGGAAGCTCCTTTCAAAATTGTGGCACCGACTGGCAACAGGGAGCCACAGCAGGGGGATAAAAGAGCCATATGTGGCTCCAGAGCTGCTGGTTGCTAACCCCTGAGCTATAGCAATGGGACAACCAGTTTCACCATCTCTCTTTATGCCCACAGGATATATTGGTGTCTTTGCTACAATGGCTTCAGAGTGGTGGCTATGCCAATGTCTCCAAGAATATTTTCTGGTTTTGTTTTGTTTGTGTAGATATTTCTATCTCAATGCTGAGCATGCATGCACCATTCTATTAACATAGATTTCTGGTTGTTGTGGTGTGAGATACAAAACTGTAATTTCCATTTTTATTATTTTAGAAATTCTTTATGATTTTAATGTTTTTAATGCTATAAGCTTCCCGGAGTCACTTCAAAATGAGACAGGCAGCAAATAAATTTAATAAATAAAACACAATTGATATAACCTCAGACCTAGAACTTTCAACTTTCAGCAATGCAAGCAGCAGGGTATTTGGTCACCAAAGTTTAATATCTAACACATCAGGACTATAGAAAGTCTCAAATTCTGTTTGTGATTGAGAATGCTTGACATTTGCTGGGCAATATGGGAAAATAGAATCGCAATTATTTTACCTTTTTGATCAAATATTTTCCTCTACTCTTATAGGAATGCCATAAAAACCTCAGCAGCTGTGTGTGTTTTCTTACACATTCACACATACAGTTTTAAAATGTACTTGGGGGGAGGGGGGAGGAGATGGAAAAGGCCATTTTCTTCCAGTGAAAAAGTTTGTGGTTAAGGCTTAGCATTGGGAATGGAATAAGAAAAAGATCACCATGTTTATCTAAGTTGTTTTTATTATCCCAATGGAAAGTCTGGCAAAACTGCACAGATTTGAAACTTATCAAGATGCTTTTATTTTGTCCACTGCAGTAAAAGAATCAGCAAGAAAAGAGACAGCTAAATTATATTGAGAAGTAAAGAAGAAACATAAGTATTTATGCCCAAAATAAAAAAGTCAGAAGACAGATCTAGGAAGCATACCAAACCCAGCTGAAGCACTGTCCCACAACAAAGGCAGGCTGTGATGATGTGAACTCATCACAGCAGGTAACCCAGTTTTGATTGAGTTGAGTCACTACAGCCCAGAGGCAGCTAAGTCAACTTCTTGACTTGTTCTTTCAGTTGCATAATGTGCCAGTCAAGCATTTAGGAATGCAATAAATGTTTGCTCACCGGGACACAGGTAAGCCATGGCCGTCTCTCAGACAATCAGCTGAGGGTGGAAGTTGGCTACTTGCTTAAGTGATTCCCACGCAGAGGTTCTCACATGAATTAAATCAAGTCAGTTTCTGGGAAGGCCAACTCCTCCTCCCACTTTATGTCCCCAAATGCTACACCAACTTATAATTGGTGAGGCCTCCATCCAAGTCTAGAGTCTGTGACATCATGGAAAGCATGTATTTATTCTGATAGCCTTTATATAAAGTTTTTTTTTTTAATGTTCTTTTGGTTTGGGAGGATAAGTCTTTCCAGGGGAGGTATACTATTCTCTTGCAGAATTTCCTGCATAGCTTTTAAAAAATCCAGCAGAAAATGGAAAATGCAGCTGCTTTTGTCAGTAACTTTCTACACCTCAGGACATATTTGTTGGAAGACTCTGTCTTCCAATTCTAGCATGAAGCTAAATATTTCCTTGTTTAACAGATCTTGTCCCTTTTATCCTAAGAGCCAACCTATTGCAGCAAAATTCTTTTCTTCTTCACTTTTGCAAAAAATAGCTCCACTATCCGTGAACCAGTGGTGGGTTGCAGATGGTACGCCCCGGTACAGCCATACCGATGCCTGCTGGGAACACCGGGTACTGTTTCGGTACAGTGTTCCGGAGGGCCCACCCGAGCTCCTTATCTGTATTTGAGCTCTTCAGCGCTTCCGTGCATGTGCACGCAGCGTACGGCGCCCTGTGAGATGCTCCACCAAGCAGCTGGAGCATCACAGAGGTAAGGACACATGTGTGCGTTGCACATGTGTGCGTTGCACATGTGTGCTGCGCGCGTGCATGTGGGACACTCTGGGCCCCATTGAACCGTACCGGTTGCAACGGGATCCAGAATCCACCACTGCCCTGAACCATGATTAAAGCTACTACATGGCACAGAACAGACTGTGGGAACCTGGAGCCCAATAGACCTGGGATGTTCTCCATCTAGATACAAACTCCAAAGAGATTTTTTTTCAAATTAACTTTAAAATGTAGGAACATGTCTTGAAGTCCAAACATCTTGAAGTTGCCATTTCTGAAAAACACCACCCTAACGGAAGCTGTTCTTTTCTTGAGCTGTTTCTTGTTTAGGAGATGTGTAGAATGTTCTGACACTAATCAATTTATAACCTTTAAGAGATACGTTTTGATCTTGTCTTATTGACTGACCAAGGAACAAGATGGAAATGTTGAAAATATGCTCTGTAATGGCTGGATTCATACATTGCAGTAAACTATTGTTGGCTAAAGAAGCTATCCTGGCCTGATTACATAAAACAATAAACTATAGCTTTTAAGCTACAATAGCTAGTTTTACACACTGCAATAGACAAAACCCAAAACAAACTACATTAGCCATAGTGCTATATGTGAACCCCACATTTTTCTTTTATAAAGATTTTGCAATGGAGAATAGCATTAACAATATGATCTTAGCAAAGAGAATTGAAGGATTTACTTCCAAGCAATGACATATTAGATTAAATATAAAGCTAGCTATGCAAATAAAAGATTACATAAACCTGCTGCAGTATAGGCAATAGACACTTACTGAGAACATACACCCTGAATTTATCTTAACACCTTTCACAGGAATGAACTGACAATTATTTGAAGTGACTCATACTTCCCAAAACATACTTTCCCTAACTTTTAAACAACCCCTGATAGTCTCTAAACATTATGTGAAGAAAACTATTTGTAAGATACCTTACATATTATTGAAGAAACATACCTACAGCATATAAAATATTCCTTCCCTAATCTGGAATTTTCTAAGTGAATTAGCTTCCAGAAATGCTGGCTTGAAATGCTGGAGCCAGAAGTTCCATTCTGCCCACCCAGAAAAATGAATCTGATATTGTTCCTGGTTGAAATCAAAGCTCATTAGGTGATTACATAAACAGCAGCTCACAAAATGCAGCTGCTTATATCCTATAGTATACCCCTTTGTTGCTTATTTGACTAAACTCTGATAAACACATTTTCAAGCAAAGGCCCCAAAACACAGAAAGATATCAAAGAAAACAGTTTTAATCTGAACCACCATTCTGAGAGGTGCTTTCAATTTGCAGGGACAAAGCTGAAGTGTCTGTCTGTCTGTTTGTCCGGAAATTCTAATGCAGCTCTGTAACCGTTCAGTTGCTCTACACTGCAGGCATTATTAATTCAGGCCCTACAAATTATTTGATTGATTCGCTGGACTCACATGGTCATTTTGTATATTTGTAGATCTGCAGCACTGATATTTTCTCTCCAGTTTGTGCAATATCACATTAAATAAACATTAGATAACGTGGCTATGCTACAGAATTACTTCAGCTGTTCTTTTCTTCTCTTTTCAGGAACTATTGAACTGCTGGATGAACGCTGTGGAATCTAGCAGCAGGTCTCCAGTTAGTTTGATAAGCAACAGTTTCCAACCTGTTTGAGCTGGTACTCTGGTAGGTAAAATGTTTTTACTTAACTTTATCTATAAACTAGAACATTGCATGTTTGTGGTTTATTTTTTATCCAGCCAATATTCAAAGCAGCTATTAAAGAATAATGCTATAATAATTAAAGCATAGTACAGTCATTAAAACGAGTGCAGCAAGCTTTTCAACTTAAATCTCTGGGACTACACCATCATGGTTAACTGTTAGAACAGGACAGAGTATAAGGTCACCATAAGCTCTGGAAACTCTTTGGGTGAGATTGGGCCACTGTCTTTCAACCCAATCTATTTCACTGGGTGGTTCTTTGGGAAGAAAAGGAAAGTAAAGTATCCCCGGATACAACCCCTTGAGCTTTTGTATTACCAAGACAATTGAAGTTGGATTCAAGAGATGCCTTAGAATTCTCTGTTTATTCTACTGTGTCTTGTAGAACCTACCCTATTTCCCCTGATAACAAGACCCAACTGGAAAATAAATCCTAGCATGATTTTTCAGGATGCTCGTAATATAAGCCCCACTCTCAAAATAAGCCCCAGTTAAGATTGTCAGCCATTTAATATATTTCCCCCCAAAATAAGACCTAACCAGAAAATAAGCCATTTGGAGCAAAAATTAATATAACACCTGGTCTTATTTTCAGGGAAGCACAGTAGTTTGACTGTGGAGTATAGAATGGTAGAAGATCATACAGTGGGGAATCATAAAATTAACCCTTGGGGGAGGGAGGTTGGTTGGATTTGTTGTTATTGGTTTGATTTTGGTAGTACTTTATGAAATGCAGAGCTTTCCCAAAAACATTTAACAGGAAATTGGCCCGTGGGAAGAGTTACTGATGTTTGGAGAAGTGGAGGTAAATGAACATTGCAATATTCCCATAGTAAAGGGGAAACCCTGAGCCCTTAAACATTATGAATGGTGCTGATATTTACATTTAAAAGAGGCTCAAAATAGCAAAGAGATTTGTTAGATTGCTGGACGGGGGCTGGGAAGAAGACTCAGGTGCAGACATGGATGACTGAAGGACTTCAAGCCAATCACTGTCTACCCATGTAACCTACTTCGTCTAAATGTTGTGAGGATAAAGTCTTCATTTTAGAGCAGAGTATTTGCCTAAAGGCAGAATGATAGCATAAAAATAACCAAAGCAAAATAATGTATCTTATGATTAACGATTGTAACTATGATTTATGATCTTGTTGTCTGTTGGTACACTGAGGTCTTATGCAATGGAGACAAATTCCTCGTGTGTCCAGTCACACTTGGCGAATAAAGAGTTCTATTTTGTCCTATTCAAAATGTTGTGTACTGCTCAGAGTCACTTGCTTGGGAACTGGGTGGCTATATAAATAATATTAAAAGAAATAAAAGAAAAGATTCTCTCTAATAGATACATACTTTTTCTTATCTTCTTTTGAGTGAAGGAATGCTAACTCTAGACTCGAGTTCTATTATATTCTCAGAACATACGTAATTCTCTCCAGACATAGAATCCATCACACAAGTCTTCTCGTGACCACTCAAAACTGACTGCCAACAGAAATGCAACCTTTTTTAATTGGGCAAGCCTTAGTGACACAAAAATGTGGAAAAGTCATGCTATGGTTATTGGTCTCTTGTCACTTCACTGTGGTTTGTACCTGGAGAATGAGCTAGTCTTTGAAAGCTTTCCTTGGTAATAGTTCTGAATATTCATCAAAGATTTCTTTGCAATTGAGAATGAGGCTTCTGATTATTCAAGGCTGACAGTCTAGTTATAGTACAAGCTGTGCCATTAAAAACCTCTGCAAGTACAGCTACATTATTTATTCACCTACAGCCAAAATAGCTCTATAGTTAGTATATGATGTCAGTAGATTGTTTGGATCCCTGGAAAATAGGCCGGGAATCGCCTCTCACATGATACATGAAGTCAGTGATAAGTGCTTCTCTTCCGTGACTGAAAAACTAGAAATGGGCAAGGTTCAAGAGAGTCTGGGAAGTGGAAAGTATTGCTCAGGATCTCAGAATAAAATCTGGCATTTGGCATGTTCAGGATGCTGCTTCACCCTCCACATATTCAAATCTTGGTGTGCTGCTTTGACCCAAATGATTCAAACAAACAAAACAACTGCATACAAGCATTCCAGAGATTTTGAACATGAAGGTTTGTTTTTGCCTTGTCTTTTTTTAAAAAAATATTAACTGAGTGAATTTAAAGTTAATCTGTAGTCGTTTATTTTTAGTAGCATTCTTGCAACAATTAGAACCTGCAAGAAAATGATTCTACAACACATGTATATATGTCCTGACTTTTTAACCATTTGCAATCTCAAAATTCAGGATTTAAAGAGTATTATTCTGAGCTGACCTTTATAAGAACGTTGATAAAATATAAGCATTTGTGAAAGTAACACACTTCCCAACCTGCTGTCCTCCATGTATGTTGTATTCCAAGTTCTCAAACTCACTTCCAGGATGGGCCAGCAAGAGTTGACATGCACTTTTGAGTGTGTGTATGTGTGTGCGTGTGTGTGTGTGTGTGTGTGTGTGTGTGTGTGTGTGTACACGCCCTGGGATTGTCTGGCGATCTTCCATCTGAACACTAACAGGCCTTATCCTACTTAGCTTTGGAGCCTATACATATTCAGCTATGTGCTGCCGTTTCCCAATTTTATGGCTGACTGCAATGCAAAGAATTCATAACTAACCAGCACTCTTGTTCTTGGGCCAAAAGCTAAACTATATATTGATAATTCTCCTCAAGGAAAATATCTAGTTACTAAAAAATGAGTCTTACAAATTTCATCTTTTAAAAATTTCCTCAGAGCAAGCAGTCCAGGAAGAAAGAAAGCTGCACCAAAAGGTTTTATATGCCAGTCAGTCATGATTAACTGTGATGGATTTACATATATAAAACGCAACCTTGATTTAACAAGCAACACTGCACCATTTTGTTCCAATATTTTGGCACTGGGTCAGTCAATGATTGTTTCATCATTTTTAGATGTTACCTGTACAGATGAATATAAACATTTGAATACACAACGTTCCATTATCAGAATGTATGTTTATGCTTAGTGAGAGTGAAGCAAATGAGATAAGGTGCATTTAAACCCTAGGAGAGGGGATTTAAAAAGACAAGGGGAAATGCAATCAGTAAGTTGAATAGACTTCTTTAGTAAGAATGATAAATGAGGGAAAGCTACAGAACCCTGCAGAACCAGAAATAAATATTTAGTTGTTGATTTCTGGAATCTCCTGCACTGCAAAGTTAGTTCTCTATCTCATTTACTTTATAGTTCCTTTTCAGATGGATTAAAAATGATAGCCTAATTCAATCACCTCTCTTTAGGTCACAAAAGGATATATATCTCAGGACATCTATGGGGAAGAACTGGCACTCTTCTTTCAAAGCACCACTCCAGCTGCCAACTGCCTCCTCACAAGATTTTGAGAGGCATTGCCTCAGGAGTCCACCTCCAGAGAATTTCAAAGTTAAAAGCATTGAGAAATTATCTAGATAATTGCAGATCGAAAGCAATATACTTTATGAGGAATTTTCCACTGTGGCCACCTGAAGGCAGAACCTGCTATTTCTAATTCTAAAGCCAGCATAGACTTTATCACACAGGAGGACCTTCATTCAACTTTCAGGTTTCAAAGGCATGAAGTCTTTAGGCATTTTAAAGGTTAATCAAAATTCAGGATTCATGGGGTTTCTTCTGATGACTCAGAGGAACAGACAAATTAGTCTGCTGAAGAACATAAAAACAAAAGTATCCATGAAAGCTAATTCTTATTCTTGTGTCTACCTCTCCAACTCATATTTATTTCCACCATTGCATATGTTTCCACAACGAGCTCAGTATGACTCTGCATGTGCAACTATCTGCCTCTAACCCAGGACAAAATAAGTGGTGCTGCAATATCTCTCGTCCAGTGGGATAACTCAATTAGACCATGCTTTCTTTGGACCTATCAACCCCATATTGAGGTGATTTCAAATGACCTATTCTTCTCCATGGAGAGACTCGTCCCATTAATGCCTAGGTCATCCTTTGCAAGGCTTTTAGCTGTATCTGCCATAGTTCCATATTAGCAGAAGCCTGTCTAATATTTACTGCTTTTCATTGTCATAAAAAAAGGTTTTGTTTGATCTGCACTGTGGTTGGGCAAAAGTTCTGTTTACCTGGAAGAACTTTGCTTGATTTCAGTACCATAAGAACTTGTGAATGCCTCCATATCTAAGGTATTTTGTTTGCTTATGAAAGCTAATGATGATACAGAACTTGAATTATTGCTTCTTAAAATCAGTTTTACATGCATTCATTTACTTTTCGCCTTGGGTATATCTTCAAGGTATTACAAGATGCTTTAAACAAAGAGTATTTGTCTACATAAAAGGGATTCCCTTTATAAGAACAGAGGAACATACACAGTGTCTTTTATTAAAAGAAATTGTTCACTGAAATTGATGCATGGTATGCTTAACCGTGACTATCCACCTTCTTGAGTCTGCAAAATACACTGAACCATAAAGTAACCCAATGTACTGGCTTTGCATACAACCAGTTCAAATGTCATTGCATCGTGAGTGATTCAGTGACTATGTAAACCCAGCCACTGAGAAAGTACAGCATTCCCATCACAGAGGTTTCCCAGAATAGGATGAGCAGGATGGCCCTTAGCCAGTCCTTTCGAAGCCAAACAGGGCGGGGAGGGGACCTCATAAGGAGATATGCACCAATGGCATTTCTTCCACCAGAGCCCTTGAATAGCAATCCCCAATTAGTATCAACCAGCGCAGGGTTGGTTCCTGTACCAGTTGGTACTGGTTCTCTTCATGTGCACTTTGCTTCGGCATGCATTGCTCACGCATGTGCAGTTGACTGAAAATTGTTCTGCGCACGTGCAGAAACATGCCAGCAATGGCATAAGAGACTGAGGAACCGGTTTGGGGGTGTCGCCAGCCTGGGTCACTGCTGATTCTGCGACCCAGGCCAGATCACCACTACCGGTTCAGCTGAACCGGGAGCAACCCACCTCTGAACCAGTGGGGCTGGACTAGAACTTCCGTATTCTCTAGCCAGCATAGCCGTTGAGTAGGAGGAGGAGAATTGAAGTTTGGGCAAGCTCTGTACATGATCCATATAAATAATTTTCCTGAGAACTGCACTCAAAGCCAGGAATCATTCCCTTTTCCTTAGTTTTTCAGAGGTCATGTAAACTAGCATTTAAGTTATCAGGTCATCGTAATTCTCTAAGTCACATTTCCCTCCTTTCAAGGAAGATCCCATTCTCTTCCTCTTCCCCCACACCTGCCCCGGAAAGGAGTCCCAAACATGATGGCCTGCTCCAAGCTGCCCCAGGATCAAGCCACGTGTATGATAACAGCACCTATTAAATGGGATGTTTGCCCAGGGAAAAAAAGGTTCACTTCTTGCAGAACCACCTTTCAAAAGGATGGAATGAATTGCTTTAAAGTCACCTCATGCAATTATTTCAGGACAGCCAGCTTTAACAAACATTTTATTTTTTTTATTTTTTAAATATTTTTATTAGGCTTTTTTAAAACATTAAAAAACAAAACACAAATTTCCACTCATTACAGCGACTTCATATCAGTATCGTCAATATTATTCGTATTTGCATAAGCTCCATTTCTATATGCTCTAATGTTTATGTTTGTTTATGTTTATTTAATTTGTATGCTGCCCCACTCCCGAGGGACTAGGTGGGGGCTAACAACCAAAGGAGGGGGGGATACAAATAGGACAAAAGACAGACAGAATAAAAACAACAACAGTCATAACGATTCAAGTGGGGCTGGAAATTCATCATATATTATATAATATATTCTATGTTGTATAATATCATATAATAACTTAAAACATACTAATATTTACAGATTTATACAGTGTTATCATATTTGTTGTAAATAATACTTAGTTTTTATACAGTATCTCACATCTATTGTCCAACCATTTATACCATCTGTTCCACACTTTATAGTACTCCGATTCTTCTCTATCCTTCAGTTCCATGGTCAACCTATCCATCTCTGGACACTCAATTAAAAAGCATTTTAAATGATTTTGTGGCATAACATTCTACCCATAAAATCTGAAGAAGGATCAGGAAGAATACGGAAACATGTGCTTCCCCACTCCCCATCCCCATACCGAAGGCACTATGCAGGGCAGACAGGGTCAGACCAACTGGGAATGGAACAAATTACAGCAGAAAATAAGAGGAGAATACACCATCAGAGTTGTCACAAGAATCCACATGAATCCTTTTCTTCTACTGTCTTAAATATAATAGAGCCAGTTGCTATAGAAACTAGTGTAAAAGCTCCCTCGCAGCAAAGCAGGGAGGCAAGGTCGAGAAATGAAAGGGACTATAGTATTTTAAAGCCATTTATAAGGGATACTAAAGAATGAGATTAACAAAATTCATCATTTGTACCCAGGCTCTATCACATTGTGATTTATATCACAGGGAGTGAAATGAAGAGGTACAAGTCATACTGGTGAATTATAAGTTTGCAGTAGAGTGAATTTAACACAAGGTTAGACATTTTCGGCAATCGACTGTTTACTACAATCCGGCTATTAAGCACTTGTTTTTCAGAACTGTGCACTGTCATGGTCAGAAAGTAATAATAATTTATTTCCCACTACTCTGAAAAAATGGATTGTTTTCTACATCTTTAGAAGTTAGTAGAGATTTAACTTCAGTCTTCAATGTACACCCATATCTTCAGAAGATATATATCTTCCTTAGGCACTGAAGGTGGCTGGGTGACTTTGAGCCAGTCGCTCTGTCTCAGCCCTGAACTGGGTAATTGAAAAACTTATATTTGCCAACTTGCCTGGAACTAGCATTGTAGATTACAGTCTGTAATTTTCACTGAATAGGCCTTTCAGTGGATTGCTTAAGGATGATGAAGACGATGACATGTTATAGATGAGATGCTTCTTTGTTTGACATTCTACAGTAGGGGTGGGGAATCATGGCCCATGCTGGCTCAGGAATTCTGGGAGTTGAAGTCCACAAGTCAAAAAAGGCCATGGTTCCCCGCCCCTGTTCTACAGTGAAAGTTATTAGGTTCTCATGTGCGTTGGGAGAGAACACTAGTGGTATTCAGCCAGTTCTGACCAGTTCTGGCAAAACGATAGCAGAAATTTTGAGTAGTTCGGGGAACTGGCAAATACCATCTCTGGCTGGCTCTGCCCTCATCTATTCACAGAGTCCCAGCTGATTGGCTGGGTCTTCCTCTGTTGCCCTGAATGGAGCTGGAAAGCAGGTTAGTGGGGTGGGGAGGGAATAGAGATTTTACAGTATCCTTGCCCTGGAGTGGGGTGGAAATGGAGATTTTACAGTATCCTTGCCCTGCCACGTCCACCAAGCCTTGCCCACCAAGCCATGCCATGCCCACAGAACCAGTAGTAAATTTTGAATCCTACCACTGGGAGAGTTATCCTTTGAGTTACACATGCTGTCCTAACTCATCAACGGTGATTGCTGCGCATAAGCTTAAGGACAATCTACTTATCAACAGAGGTGTTGGACATGGCTATAAGCAAAGGCATCCCACAAGGCAACCAGTCAGTGTATCATTATAAATATATTAAGTAATCTATCAGAATACAGTATACCTCATTGTCAGTCATTGTCAGAAATTGAAAATAGAGAAAAGTTAATTAATTTCCAGCTGAAGCTATACATGTAGCTTTCATTGCTACTCTATCCAATTTAAGAGGGTTAATCCAGGAAGATGGAACTTTTCAGTTTAACATATCCAGAAGGCATCTACATGCAGAAGGATGAACTAGATTTTAATACCATTTTTAATACAAAAAAATCAACATGTTTACAAATTTGTTTGGATTGACACTTTGCTCTCCCAATACATATGAAATATGATAGGTAAGAATCCATATTGTCTTTATCCACAAAGGGAGGCAGAAGAAAGAGCAGAAAAAAGTAGTTTCTAGCAAGAATAAGACAGATACTAATCTAGCCTTCTTTGGCATGCACCACACTGCTGGCACATTGAGCCTGCTGTGCTACACTTGAGAGACCCAAATTGCTATTCAAGTCACAGTGCCAGCGATAAAAGTTAGAAGGATAAAGCCCAAAGGAACATGTATCTTCTGACAGGGAAACTTTGAGTCTGCTCACCCCACCAGAATAATGATTAGCGCCTGTCATGCTCAGCCAGAGCAACTATAGTTGTTGTCACTTCTGCTGAAGCTTTTGAAAAGCAAAGGCTGGAGCCCCCAATTTGCAGTCTCCAAAGTATCTGAAATCATGAGCATCTTTAATATGATTGTCAAAAGCTTGCAATCACTTTGAACTTCACCCTTCCAAAACAAATGGACAAACAACTACAACCATATTGGCAAAATTTATTTGTTGCATGCAAGACTGCAAATATGTCAGTCAAGTTCTCTCTTGTGTATCTATAAAGCTGTGCATCTCCTGAATGGCTGAACCAAAGAGTTAGGATGCTGTGCTACATTTCATTCAACAATTCATTGGCTACTGATAGTCATTGCTCAACATAGTCCAACCTGTCTTAATATGCACAACACAAGATATGTAAAAATATGGTATGGAATGATATGGAGAAAACTAGAGATTTGTTATACTCCATTACTTTAAAACTGTCTCAAGATTTGCATGTCAACCACACACACACACACACACCCAATTGCAGGTCATTTCATATGCAGTATTCATTCAAAGCACATGGAAATCAGCTTTCCCCAACCAGATAACCTCTAAATATATTGGCAGCACCCAAAATTTCAAGTCAGAGTGTTGAATGGCTTTGGAAAGTCTTAGACTTGTAATCCAACATATCTAGTAGATATTAGATTGGACTGGCACAAAGCAAATATCTTTCTCTGAATAAAGTTGAAATTTGGTTAATGTAGTTTCCTGCTTTTTCCCGTCACATTTCTCTCTTTTCAAAGCATTAAAGAATCATAGAGCTGAAGCTATGCTGGCCACCAAATCCATCTCCTCCCAAGGTCAGAAATTTAAATGAAAGCATCCCTGACAGATGGCTATCCTGCTGCTGCTTAAAATCAGCCTCCTGCCTTCCTTTCCTTTTTTGTGGTCTATTATTTATACAAATGTTACCCTGCCTTTCTGCCTGAAGAGAACTCAAGGCCATGAGTATACCAATAAAAAAGCAGATATTTTTTTTAAAATGATAAACAGTTGTAACAACTATTAACCTATTCAAACTACAAAGATCCATCCAAAGAAGTCTTTATTTCTTTCTTGAAAACAGAAATATTACTTTCTGTGGAATTGTGCTGAGGCTCCAAACAACTTTGGAGAACCAAACTTGGAAGATAAAGGCACTGAATTAGGGCCTCTTCTGTTGATCTTATGGATCTGGATGTGCATAGCAAGGTAAGTAGATTCTAATCTATTTAAGAAATTAAAATATTAAAAAACAAATTCAATACAGAATACATAAAACAATATGCTTTTGCTTTCCCTGTGCATTTAGATATTCTTCAAGGAAGCCTCGTGCAGAATGCATTGCAGCAGTTAAGCTGGGAAGTAATCAAGGCAAAGATAACTGCTGCCAGGTCAAGAAACATAACAAAAATATATATTACAGAAATATAAATGGGCAAATGCATTCCTAATCATATGGAAATGCAGAGATTTCCTTAGCACTACCAAACTATTAGTTGAATGTACACAGGAAGTGGAAAGTCCTTCCAGAACAAACTGAACCAAACCCCAGAACCTCATTTCCCATTGATCTACACACCTCTGCGTTGCTTGTACTCATATGGATCAATGGCAGCTAGCCTTGATGGCAATGTGACTGCCTCTGAAGGCCATCTGCTCGGAGACAGATGGACTTCATTGTGCCATTGTTTGGCCAATATAAGAAAAGTCTGCAAGTTAGATGGGCCAGAGTTCCAGCAGGGGCAATGGTAGGGGGTGGGCTGCTGGGTGTTGCATGGGTTCGGGCGATCCTCTAACTAGGATTCTGCCCAGTTTGGTGAACCCCCAAATGCAATCCCTGGCTGGCCACACCTATCCTGTCCCTCCCAGGAGTTGCCAGGCGGCCCATTCATCATGCCAGGTAAGTGTAGGGCCCGCACGGAGGCTCGGGGATGGGGGAAAACGGGCCTACCGGAGGTTCCAGAAATCTGGAAACGGGCCTGTTTCTAGTCTCCGGAGCCTGGGAGAAGCAGTTTGTGTCCTCCTGGAGACTCGAGGAAAGCCTCCAGAGCCTAGGGAGGGCAAAAAACATCTCCCCACACACCGTGGTGCAGGAGGCTGACTAGCCACACCCACTATGGCCACGCCCACCCAGCAACAGGGCAGTGAACCCATTGCTGCAATTTTTGAAGCCCACCTCTGGGCAATGCTTATGTTTTTATGTTCCCATTCAGCCCTCATCAAACTTACACACAGAAGGGAATTAATTAACTGCTTCCTTGGAGATAGAACAGAGTTTAATACAGGATCACTGACATTTTGGGTATGCTTGTTCAATCAGTTCTGTATCCAGCAAACAGCAACATAATCTAAGCTACATTTTGATAACATTCTCTACCAAAACCTCATGAAAACTTTGTCAAAAGTTTGGCTAGAGTCACAGTATACTATGTCCACCGCATTCCTCTAGTCAATTAAAAGGTCACTCTTTCAAACAAGGAGATCAGGCTAGTTGCCATGGTTTGGAATCAAGAACCAAGCAATGTGGTTTTTTTTAAATGATTTAATGATTACAGACTGACAAGTTAACACTGTTTCAGAATTTTGCCTGTACTGATATGTTTAGTTATCCAGCACATACCTATCTATCAGAGGTGGGTTGCTCCTGGTTCAGCCTGGTTCGGCCGAACCGGTAGTGGAATTCATGCCTGGGTTGCAAAACCAACAGTGACCCAGGCCTGCACGTCCCCAAACCAGTTCCCTCACCACTGCTGGGCCACCACCATTTTGGTTTTTAGTGACTGCGTGTGTGCAGTTCACTGCAAATTGTTCTGTGCATGCACAAAGAACAATTTACATTGAACAGTGCACACACATGCATTGCACACAGGTTGCAAACTGGTAGTAAAACCAGCAGCAACCCACTCCTGCTACTTACTTACCTATTTATTAGTTTGTTTATATCCAGTCTTTATTATTTTTATAAATAACTCAAGGAAAAACCTGGATTGGTGTCTGAAGGCTCTTGGGTGTGGACAGGACAAAAGAGTCTTTTGCCGAACCCAAGTTGATGTTTGCTGAGAAGGGTGCTCTATTAGTTCCAGTTATATCTCTGGATTGGGTGGCATTGCCCCTAAAGGGGGGTCTAAAATTTGGGGTTTCTCCTGAACTCACAACTCACACCAGAGGTACTTTGCTCAATTTTGTAGTGGCCGATTTGCTGGCAAATTAGAGTCATCATGTATTTATTTAACAAATTTAGACACTGCCATCTCACTAAATGACTCTGGGCGGTCAGAGTGACACCATGTAACAGCTGTGTCAAGAGGTTTCCAAATACAATTTGAATTACCAATTCTAACCTATAAAGTCCAATACGAGTTGGCTCCGAAGTGCCATCAGAACAGCCTTCTCTACACAGAATCAACTCATTCAATGTGTGCTCCCTAACACAATCTTTAAATAGTCTCCCATCACCAAGAAATTAAGGGAATTCCTGGAGGACTAGAACTCACAGTCCGTCCGTCCCCCAAGTTAATCAACTAGACCTTTCAACCTTTGCATTCCACTCATCCCACCAGGGTTCAGTAAAGCCTGCAAAATTGTAATTGCTTTCCTGCATTGGGACTTCTAATTCTTGCTGTTTGTACCCTAAACACTGCACATTAATATAAAGACATTGGAATTTTTGAGCCTTGCAAACTGATTTATCCTTTCCTAGATTTACTATACTGTTCATTAGTGGGTGCCTCAGCAGCCTGTATATCCCACCGGTCCTATTCTTAGGACTTGATGTCACACTATTTTCTAGGTTGTCTTCTCCCTCTACCACAAGATACAATTTAAAGGCTCTGGAGTCAGGTCTGAAAGATGTCTTCAATTCTTCCTAATTTTCACGAGGTGCAGATGATCTCATGCTGGTAGTACTACGCTTATTTGTTTGGTCATCTCGAGCACTATGTCTTTCCTGTTGTAACTACTTACATGCTTACTTATTTGTTGCAGAATGCAGGCATAAGCTAGGACACACTCAGTTGTGTGGCTGGCAAATCTTCCCTGATTCTGAGAGAGCCTCTTTTAGGAATTAAGATCTGGATTGTGCCTTTTGCACTATAGGAAAATGAGGTCATATTTAAGGCAGCTGCAGATGAGCTATTTCTGGCTTGGGACACTTGGAATCAACACTGCTGTTAACTCCAGATGGACATCAAGTGAAGTCCATCTGTGTGATTTCTAAGTTCTTTGAGTCTCTGAGCTGGGGACTTTGTCAAAAAGAGATGTGCTGTGTGATGAATCAGTCAGCTTTTGTTGTCTGGAGCTGGACTCTATGACGAGTGGCAAGACTCATCTTCTTGGGAATATCTCAAACTTTAAAGGGCAGTTGAATGCAGCTGAAAAGGGCAGAAACATAATTTTCAGAAATACTTGTTTCTGGATCTATAATTATATGCATGAAGGGTTCACACTGTCCATTTAACTAATTAATAAGTAGTCAGATATATCAGTGAAAGCGTTATGATCTTTGAGCAATCATGAACAGATATTATAAATCAGAACTCCTTGTTCATGATTCAGTCTGATCTAAAGGTGCATCAAAAATGTATGCGAAAATAATCTATGTTGCAATTATATATTTAAAGCCTTTAATTTCTTAGTGACAAAACAATGAAAAAAACCCAAACTGTAGACTGGAAGAAATTATTCTGTAATTAACACCAAAGCTAGCACATATAATGTGAAAAGGAATTTAAAAACATCAGTATGTTTTCAACCATAGTTGCATCTAGACATTGAATGCATTGGGAGAAATCATAGTATGAATTGCCTACAATGTTCAGGATAAAGCCTTATGTGTTGCTTTATGTGGCTAATTTGTAAAGAATAAGAAAATATTTGTTAAATATTTGATGATACAATTAAGTCTTATTAATGTAGTGGCCTTTATTTTGCAAATTAAAATGCACAAGAATTCATTTTTATCACAACAGGTCTTTATTTGTCATTTTACTTTGCTAAGTATTTGATTAATATTAATATGGAAGAGCTGCTTTTTAAAAAAACAACAACCGCCAGTTAATACTTTAGACGGAGTAGCTATGTGGAAATAGTATTAATGGGTTTCTATTTATGATACATACTAGTGCTAAATATTATTTTTGATATTTTTATTGCCACCCAGGACAAATACAGTTCATTATAGATGAGGAATTGTTTAATCTTCCAGCTACATGCAATAATCAGCAGAACAAATTGTTTTTAGTGCAACTCTGGTATTGGTCTCCCTCTGCCTTCTTCATCCCACTCAAAATGCCTAATATCAGCTTTTGTTTCCTTTTGGTTATTTTTCATGTCTTTTTAATGTTGCTCCCACTAGGCCAGGTTGCTAAAAGAATGCTAACAATAAAAGCTCTGTGTATCAAGTTGGAGTGAGGAATGGACTGAACTGAAGAGACAATGGCTTTTTCATGGGCTCCTTGTAGAAAAGCCAGCAAGTTGGATTCTGAATTATGATTGCCATGGCTTCTACACTTTGCAAGCAAGTGACATATCAAACACAGCAACAGGAAAGAGCACTGTGATTGTCGACTCGTTGATATTGCAGGGATAGATCTTAGAACTGGAAAATCACCCTAAAATTGACAATTGACCAAGAGAAAACAGAGAAGACTGAGTGCAGGTGCACATTATATTCAAAACTGAACTGCAAGTTTAAACATTGCCCTTCTCACTGCCTAAGGAAGAATTTAATATATCAAAACCTACTATTTCAAGGGACAAAAGAGTTCCAGATATTACGTACAGTTCAGAGAGCCAGTTTGGTGCAATGGTTAACGTACCAGGCCAGAAACCAGGACTAAATTCTAGTTCCCTTTCTGGCACAAAACCAGGTGGGTAACTTTAGGCCAGTCACTCTCCCACAACCCTAGGAAGAAGGCAAGGGCAACCCAATTCTGAAATCTTGCTAGGAAAACTATAGGGACATGTTCAGGCAGTTGACAGGAATGAGAAGACTCAAAGGCAGCAAATATAGACATATACACACATTACCATTATGGCTGAAGTGGAAGTCACACTCAGACAAAGGATAAAGAGTAGTACTCTTGTCCATCAAGCAGTGATTTGATCATTACTGAAAAAAAGATATTTATCCACCAGAAACCTCATTAGGATCACATGCAATGTAAAACCAAAATTGCACTCATGGAGATTCATCATCCTTGTAGAACAGGCATGTCCAACGTGAAGCCCATGGGCCACATGCAGCCCCTAGACAGATAATAAAAATAAAAAAACGGGTGTCAAAGTCACAGCCTACAGGCTGGATGGGTCACATGCTGGCCACCCCCACCCCAGGAAGATGGGGTGAAGGAGGAAAAGTTGCAATATGTCACATGACAACATGACACCATGAGTTTGACACCTCTGTATTAAAAGATAAAGAAAGTTTGTTATTTATATGCATTGATATATAAATATATAATATATTTTATATGGATCCCAAGACAATTCCTTTTCACTCAATGGGGCCCAAACAAGCCAGAAGGTTAGACAACAAAGAATACTATAGAGCACTGCACACTAGAACAACTAGACACAAGAACAGTTTTTTCCTGAACTCTGTTACTCTGCTAAACAAATAATTCCCTCAACACTGTCAAACTATTTACTAAGTTTGCATTACTATTACTATTAATCTTCTCATTGTTCCTATCACACATCTCCTCCCACTTATGACTGCATGACTGTAACTTTATTGCTTGTATCCTTACAATTTATATTTATTGTTTCCTAGTATGTTTCCTAGTATGATTTGATTGTTTACTTGTACCCTATGACTATTATGTAGTGTTGTACTTTCTGATTCGTGATGAATGAATCTT